GTCCAATTTTGTCCGCGCATACGGCCGTAACGCGTCGTCGTTCGTGTATGACTTAACGATGCGGCGGCCGAGAAAATGGAACTAATGGTCTTAAGCTTTCTAATCGCCGATTACGACATCCTTCGCGAAGACCGCAAGGCAGCCAGGCAGCGCTCACTCGCGAGAAACCTTAACGCCGCCTCTGCGCGGCGTGTCCGCCCTCTCTCTCGCTCCTTTTCCCTTTAAACCCCGTCGTTTTATGCACCGTTCGGGACTATGCCTATTTTTACTCGTCCACGCGAGACATCGTAAAGCGCTGCTAAAGCCGGACAAAAATGCCGGTGTTCGGTTACAGTCGGACTTGGGATCGAAGAGTGAAAAGGACGCCTCGCCCCGTCATCGTCGCGCTATAATAAGATTGGAGATGTAAAAACACATAGGGTTTACTTTTACGCACGTCCAAGCGCCGAGGCGGGACTTTTCCCCGCGAGTCGCAAAGTTAATTGGACGAATTCCGGGAGTCCTTGTTAATCGACCGAATTTTTTACATCTCCATTTTCGATACTTTGGGGGAATTTAATTAAGTGGATTTTACTGTAGCCATTAATCGCGCCGAGGGACACGCCGTCCCGGCGTGGTCGCTACAAATTTATGTGCGTTCCGTTATGTGTGATGGATGCCCAATCAAACGCGTCTCTCTCTCGTTTTGGATCGACTCTCACGGTCGATGGCGATGACCGAACGAATCGCCGGAGAAACAGGGAATGCGCGATGCGTAAGCGATGCCGAATCGGCAACAGCCTTTACCTTCACTTCGGCCCGCACGCCCGGGTTGTTCCCGCACGTTCCATTCACGAATTTCACTTTCACGGCCACGGCCGTGCGCGACGGCGTTCTCGCGCCCGCCCCGAAGTCTCTCACGTCGCGCGATTGTAGCCGAAATGTTAAGCGCAGCGATCGTTGACATTCGCCACGCCGTTCGAGAGCCGTAAATATTTTGCACGCGCGGTGCCGCGAGATAACGCGCGCGCCTTGATCTTTCCAAGCCAATCGGTGCAAGCTTGAGCGCTCGCGTTCGAGTCATAAATTCTACAATGTTGAAACACGCCTGGAATACGTTATAACTGTGCAGCTCTCTATCGAGATAAAAGCATACATAAATTATGGATGTAATTATCTTCAATCCGAGCGCTGTTATGCGATTAACTTAAATTTGAACTTTACTAGATATTGGACTCGCGGGTTAGCGACTTTTAGTGAAAACGTATAAAAAAATGACGGGGCGTTGAAATTCTACTGAAACGAAGAATAACTGAGAATGGCACTACACATTGTTTACAATAGAATTTACGTGTTCTGTCGTGTTTTTTTTTTATACCGTTCCATCAAAAGCCGCTAACTCGCGGTGTAAAACTGCAGCACCGTTTGTCTCTGACCCGTGCAAGTAGCGCATCGCAATCGCGAATTAAATAGCGACCCGCGGAAGCGCCGGCCTCGAAGTTCAAATCACTGTGCAAGGCAAACTCCCATCACGACAATTTTGCAAACGTAAACGTACTACAATACGCCTCGCGTGCGCCGGGCGTATTGATTTTCCTCTCCGTGTACGCGGTGGTCCGCCCATCATCGTTTTTCCTGTGAGAAAACTTCGGCACCCGAATACACAGCCCGCGCCGCCGCCGTGCGATCTAAATATGCATATTCCAGGGTTAAAGTAACAAGAGTCCGAGTCAAATTTAAATACCCTTGGTGGTTTTCGATTCGCGGGCAAACAAACATCCTGTTGAGGATACTTGGGGTAACTTCGCCGAGTTTATTTACCGAGACCTGGGAGAGTACAATAAATCAGTATCGTCTCTAGAGACGCGCTCTAGTGTTTGTCTCAAATGTTTGTCTCGAGAGAACGAGATTTCCGTGTCCTTTCCGGGACGGATAAAATTAGCTCGTTTCCAATTACGCTGACGTTATTCCGATTCAAAGTACAAGTCGCATTTGTCAGATTATTTTCGCAGTTTGCCGCTAAGGAAAACGATTTTGCCGAAGTATCGGCGATTCTCCGTATTTTTCCGTCAGAATATGCTGGAGTCTCTACGCGCGAATAGTCCGCAGAAGAGTTTACAACGCTATGAGCAACATATGGTCGTGAATAAAGTCACGCGAAAGAAATGAAAGAAGACGCGGATGTTCTGTACATTCTTATAGATACAAAACATAAACCAGGGGGGATTGTTTAAAAAAATCGACCAGACTGACCACAATGATGATTGTTAAACTTTTCTCTCTCTCTCTCTCTCTCTTCACTTTGCACGAAGGAGGAAGAAGTAAAATTACCAGGCGATTACGTATGCATTTACAAGATTGAGCGTCGAACATTTCAGAACACAAGTCTGCTCTTTATCGCATTACGGCTGCTACACTGAGAGACCCATTTTGTTAAATGAAAAAAAATTTTGTTGAATCAACAAAATTTCTTGTTTGGATATCAGCAAACAAATCTTTCAGTTGACGCAACAAAAAAATTTAGTTGGAAAAGTTGGTTACTTCAACACACAAATTTGGTTGAGTGAACAAAATTATTAATTGTATGAACTAAAATTTTTTGTTCCTTTATACTTAAATTTTGTTGACTCACAATCTTTATGTGTTAATATAAAAAAATTTTCCAACTACATTTTTGTTGTATCAACTAAATGATTAATTTGCCCATATCGTAACAAGCAATTTAGTTAATTCAAGTAATAAGAAAGGAGCTCAGAGTCTGAAATATAGTAATTAGATCCTCACAGTGAACACGTGGAAGGATTTCTTGTACATACCTCTATATCCGCTATGTTTGGAAAGATACCGTGAACTCAAGGCGGCGGATTGTCGCGACAGGGACCTCTCGTCTCTCGTCTCCTCTGTCTTTAATCAAAACGACATACCATTGCTCATACTTGATATGTCTCTCCTCGCGACGCGGCTCAGTCCTCAGGCTGGACGAGGATCGACGTTTTTTTCTTGGCATCTCGGTGTCTCGCCGTCTCGCGTACCGCACGAAATCACCTAACCTAACCACCGCCGCCGCCGCTGCTCGAGCGAGAAGCCTATCACACAATGCCAGGCAACAGTAAACAGGAACAGGGAATAGAATTTCTAACGCGTTGGATCGGTGAGCAACAAAGGGCCTGAGCAGAATGACTACTTGGTAAGAATATAAGACAGCTATTCTGCTCAGGCCCAAAGATAAAATGATACACCAGGGTACTCAGGTGATGTTTCCGAACGCAGCCTAACACATGCGCAGAATCTCTTTAGAATATTCAATTAAACGATTTAGTTCACGCAACAAATGCAATTATTTAGAACACGATGAGATAGACGAATTTGTCATTTCAACCATAAATTTTGTTCAGACGAACAACTCCATGGGAACAAATTGGTTTGTGTCGTTATAACATTTAACTTCTTTGCAGCAACATATTTTTCGTTTTGTACAACCAAATTACATGTTCAGTCAACAAAATAATTCAATCAAATTATTTTGTTTTATTTAGCAAAGCGGGTCTCTCAGTGTACTCGATGTACAATTCACTGGAACGAGAGCGTTATTTTTCCTAAAATCGCTGGCTCCACCGACCAATTCTTTTTCCCGTCAACGACAAACGATTCGTACCGCCTCCCTCCGCCCCGCGGGGCTTGATGGAAAAAAAATTCGGCCTTCTTCGCGATGGATACGCGCGATGGATGGATAGATAGACGCCCGTTGTTGGCGATAGCCGGCACAGCAACGATGCACGTAGGTATATGCATCGGTCGCGTTGTTGGATCAATACGCGCCTAAGCCGCCGTGCTTACTGCTGCGTATTTGACCCTCCATCTGTGCAGCAACAAGTTCTTCGGGCTTATAACGGGTGTCCCGCCGTGGTCTCACCCTTGCGACGATGAAACGAGATCGCACCCCTCCGGCTCCCCCAATTAAGGTTCGTTCTGCTCGCGACGAGCGGGCACCCCTCGCGCGATACGAGACGAGAGCATCTCCACTCTCTTGTCTCCATCTAATTAAAACGATCGCGCATTAATTGCAATTAAGGGCAACTTAGCGCCAGCCGGAAGCGCCGGCGGACTACATGTGTGCCGTGCGTGTTCGCACCGCCCTGCTATTAACTGCAATTGTGGCAAACGTGGAAGGAAGAGGAGAGGCTTTTGTAATTATAGCGTTGAATGCCATATCTTATGGTTTATCGCGCACTCGTGCTCATATTCTTCTTAACATTACCCACATTCGGACCTGTGCACGTGGGGGACTCGATATTTCTTTTGCCGAGCGAAAGATTAATTGTATCACGCAAATTTGTATCCCAGCTGCACTTCAGAAATCGCTATTGTCTCGATAAGAGAATGCAACGCGGTTACTTATTATCCTCGTTTACCGATTAACTATTAATTATATGTATATTGGCTAGACTGTCCACAGCCTAACGAGACGGATAACGCGAGTGTCGACGTTAACGGCGAGCGAAAAGGATCCTTCGTCGGCGACGCTGAGCGGGAAACCGCATTTCGCCTCGCCGGTCGTGTCGGGGGTCGAACTGTCCGTCTTTCATCCCGCGACGGATCTTCGACGTTTACGACGAAACGCGCTTTCGCGGTGTAGAAAAGCTTTTGCCTGGGTGGCAGCCACGTGGGTAGTGATTAATTGTGACAAGGCGCAAACACGCCATACACGTAACACACACGCCTCGCTCTCTTTCTCTCCTACCCTCGGCGCACCCGCATGCAAACGCGCGCGCGCGCGCGCACGCACACGCAGGCTCGGCGCAGACTATGGATTACGTGCAGCGTGCGTGCATGCGCGTGGGCGCGACTCTTGGTGTTCTCTCGTGGGATCTCGATTAGAGAATAATGCAGTCGCTCACGAGCGCTACCGCGTCGCGTATGCAATCTCGAGCGCGGACGTACGCGCGCGCGGCAGGGTCGATCTCCGGGGGCACGCGAGGGCAACGAGGCGGAAACGGGGGCAGAAATGGAAATCGCTGTCGATCCTCGAGGCAGCGGCCGCTCGCCGCCGCTCGGTTGCGTCGGCCGCAACCCGGTTAGTGCCTAATCTTGAACCGAATCTTTCTTTCGTTGCGTAGGTATGCGCAGGCGTAACTGCAATCTAGGAAGGAACGGGCGATATGATTAATGCCCTCACTCGGTTGCATAACCCGGAATGTCGATGCGATTCCGCTACGTAGATTCTATCGAAGTGTAAGAACGCGAGAACCACCTGTACTTATCCCCGCGATACGCGATAGCGTACGTTTTTTCGCGCCGTAACTCGATATATTGTTTCTCGCCTTTAATTATCGTCTCGAAACCCGCGCCGAAAGAACCGGCCGCGTAGCGTGGAATTATAATTGGAACCGCGGGAATATATATTTATATATGCTTTAAATTTCATTTGTGTGTCCGCGCATCGACATGTTAAACATACGTGTCGTTTCTAACGCACAAAGTATTAGTCTCCGCTTACTCCTAGTCGCTCAATATTGAATGTCAATGTTAATGTAAGATGAGACTTAGACGGCGGCATTTAGCGGCTAAACATTGCGGCGTGGAACACGACCGCTGTCATCGATACCGAGCTCGCAGCTACCGATCCCGTTGCGCAGTTGCGCGCTGCGGTTTCGTTAGTCGGTCATTTTGCAACGGCTCGCGGGACTGCCGGAGGAAAAGAGACGAAATATTCCGCGAGCGCTCTTCTCCCTCTCTCTGTCTCTCTTTCGAGAGGTCGTGTGTGGAACGGCTCTCGCCTCCAGATCCTTATCTCGCCTCGAACGTCACGATTAATGTGTCTTACACGTGCGCGTATACGGGATCTGTACGTGCGTATTATCGCGTTACCCCCAGCCTGCAACCTAGGCCTAGGCCCGCGCGCCTAGGTCCGCGCTTGCATTTTGCAAGACGCTTGTTTTCGCAACCGACTCTCTTTCACGGACGTCGTCCAGCTCGCTTCTAGCTCGTTCGCCTACTTCTCCACGTGCATATACATACGCATGGGCGCCGACAGCATTTTTCCACCGAAGATACGTTCCGACGGAGATACTTTTTACGGATTTCACAACTCACCATTATCGGTTACGAAATTTTCTGGACGTGGGAAGGGGGGGGGGATTTTTTCACAGACCTGCTTTCAAGCAGAGATGCGTTTCTTCTTTAAAGTGCGTCGACAAACGCATTTAAGGTGAAAAAAAAATTCATTGATACCGAAACTCTTTTCCCGATATTATTGATAAGATAAATTTCTCTGATTGTCAATTAGATTAATTGCTGTAATTAGTGTGGTCTTGAGAATGCGTTATTGCGTTACCGTTGGGGCGCGATATTGAAATGTTGTTGCTCCGATTCAACGAGCTTGTTATTAAAGACCGCGTATGCAGCGATATCAACGAGCCTGCGCCATAAAGGCTCGTAGAAGACAACGCACTTTGTTTAAAGTTTATTGCTGCCACCGAAGATTAAATGGGCGCGAGTCGTAGTCCGTCGCGACGCCCATGCGATGTATCACCGCTCTCAACACGGGAATGACCCAGTATAGCGTACTACGCCGCGCGAGAATTGCCCCAGCGATTTCACTCTCTAGGAATGAGATGAACACACTTCGCGATCGAGGGAATTGAACTTTCACCGTTACCGCAGAAATGTTTACGCGACGGACGCGCGGATTATGCATCGCCCCGCGTATACCCACCCGCCCACGCGTCCCGTTACTCCACCCGTGATTAATAAGGTGGAAACGTAATTTTAACTTGAACCTGCGCCGACGCCAGAAATAGACAAAGGAGATTCTCTCAGTGGGCGTTTGGGCTACAATAGACGCGGCAAGCTGCAAGTCGTAAGAAAGCGGCCAGTGACAGTCAATTATTCTAAGACACGAAGACAATACTTTTATTCTGTTATTGCGACAATTATTATTACCACGTGCCTTAGTGGTCGAATTGGTAAGACGCCCGCCTAGAGTGCAGGGAAAGTCTAGGCTCAAACCCTGGCTGAGGTAATATTTTTCGCGAGAAATTTTCTGTATTATTAAAAATGCCAGATATGGCCAAGAAAATACTGACGTTAATTACTGCTGGCGACATTGAAGAATATTCTTATTAGTTGATTACACACCATTGACCTAAAACATGGTGTCCCCACGTAATTGGGGAAGTATCGACAGTTTTGTGTACGGCCGACAATTCTAATCGGCGCGCAGTTTAAAGTCGAAAAATAGACGCGAAGACAACATATTTGTACTGTCATTGCGACAATTATTACCACATGCCTCAGTGGTCGAATTGGTAAGACGCCCGCCTAGAGTGCAGGGAAAGTCCAGGCTCGAACCCTGGCTGAGGTAATATTTTTCGCAACAAATTTTTTGTATTATTAAAAATGCCAGGTATGGTCAAGAAAATACTGACGTTGGCAATTATTCTTCTCATATTCGACCGTGATTGGTCGATTTCTTGCGACTTGCGACCTGCTGCGTCTATTTTCGATCCGGCCTTAACGCTCAATATGGTTGTCCCGCGACTGCGCGTCGCGGAATTTTTATTTGGTTTAAAGCAGGATTGGGAAAGTTACTTTATAAAAGTATTTAGTTACAGTTTTTTTTTGCTGAAAATGTAACTACAATAGTTATAGTTACAAGTTATCAATTCTGAAAAGTAACGCGTTACAGTTACTCAAAAAGTAACGAGTCGTTACTTTGCAGTTACTTTCTTGCAATGAAAATAAAAATACCAAATCTGCAAGTGAATTGTAAAGCGTCGATAAAGGCGTTTATGTGCAAATGCAAAATGCAATCTTGTGCAGGTTAAAAAAATATATAAAGTAACTGAGTTAAGTTAGAGTTACCCAAAAAAGTAACTGTAACTTCCCAACTCCGGTTTCAAGTAACATAATCCTTTTGTATGAGAGAAACTTGAATTCCCGGTATTAACAAACGTCGGGTACATCGATTGTCGTGTGTACTTTAGCGGCGCGCTTCGAGGATCGCTCGATCATCGGTGCACTTGGGACTCGCGTCCGATACGCGAGCGGCGAATCGGCATTGCGCGGCCGTTGCGTAACAATCGGAAATGGGAGCAGACGCGGCGTAAATGCAACGCGCGCGCCACGCTGACAGGAAAAATGTGGGTGAGCGCTTTGCAGGCCGCTGCTAACTAGACAAAGGGATCCGGCCTCTCGCTTCGGGAATGTCGGCCGCGGCTGAAATCTCCGATCCAATTAACTGTATCCCCCCCCCCCCGCCGTTCCCCCCTGCTTCCTTCTGCGCCGTCTTCTCTGCTTCTCGACGGTGCGCCCCAGGCTCATTGCGCTGGCCGTGATGCGCATCAAATACGCGGAATATACGCGAGATAGGAACTTTATCCCTCTCGCTTGTCCCTAAAGTAGCCCTGAACTGTGCCTGGTAGTTTTTTCTCTCTCGCGCGTGCATCGTGCAATACAACGTTCGATCTTCGTCTTTTGTTTCACGTAAGTGAATCTCGCGAGGTGGGCATTGTACGAGTGTTATCACGCGAATCGATATTTAGCGCACACTTCGTCATTTCCTACGTTTCGAAATGGTTTTTTGTGTAGCATTGAAATTTTTTCGAGTGCAATTGACAATCATCACCTTGCACGAAATTTCACGCCTAACGTTATTGCAAATTTCTTCGATCACGCTCTCGTATATCGAGCTCTGAGAATCGCGGGAGACATTCGGAGCAGAGATATCCCTCGCAGAATAATCCGATATCATTTCTCCATTTTTCCGCTCGTCTTGCCCAGCTCTCTCTCTCGCGCTCTCGCTTTTTTCCCCTCCCTCGTTCTCCCGCTTCCTGTCGATGCGAGGTCGGAAGCGTCCCGATAATCCAAACCGAAGCGCTTATAGATGGAGACTGCGGACGTTCTCGAGGAGGGAGGTTGATCCTCGCTCTCGCGAACCGGGATCGGCAGGACGAAGAGGCGAAAGGACTCGCAGAAATGGTGGGAGGACCGGGAGGGATGCAGGACGGGGAATGATGGGGGATCCCTAACACCGCTATTTATTTTCCGAGAGCCTCCGCGTCTCTCCGCCCGGCCCAGCCCTCTACGCTCGATTTCGCGGTCAGAATTTGCGGAATGCCCGTGGCTGGAACCCGTCCATCCGGTTTTTTAATTGCAAAAAGGATCCGCCAGGACCGGGGGCAGGGGGGGTAGGGGGCAGCGGATCGCCGCCGCGCAAACCCGCTCTCGGGACCTCACGTCCGCCGACAGGACTCGACTCCTCCGAACGCGCGGGAGAGACGAGTCCTCCGAAAGCCGCACGAGCGACGTGTTTCGCACGAGAATCCTTCGCGGTTGCGAAGTCGCGTCGACGTAGACTTTTATGAATCGTAAAGCGCATCTTCCTCTTACATGCGCCTTTCGGCGTTTCGTTTTAACCCCATTTTTTTCAGCCATCTAATCGAACGTTTAACGTTTAAACCGAGGTTTAAACTCTATCGATATCATGCGCATGAAACGTGTAAATTATTTTTACCGTTAATTAACGTATTATGCCGGGATTGAAATATTATTAATGTTTATATTGGTTTGGAAGTAAACTTCCCCGAGGAGATCATTCGTATAATACATTTTTTTATCAGGGGTTAACGAGATGATAATTTATAAATCTAATTGAGATATCCGGAGAAACGCGTCTTCGAGGTTTGCCGCGAAAATCGTAATTCAGTCTCGATGTCGGGATGGCCCGTTATTCCGCGGACGTGGGTAACAATTAGTATTAACAAGTAATAATTATTCTCGCGAAAGTGTTATTACCGTCACGGCGTTGTGCGCGTGGGCGAGATAACGTGATAATACCAAGGCTAAAATAGCCAAGATAAAGAAAATTATCTTCCGCGCGTGTGCGAGAGAGAGAGAGGGCACGTGCATATAACGTGTATCGGAGGCGATGTATTTGTTTCAATTTTATCTCCTTTTCTCTCTCTTCTCTCTCTCTCTCTCTCTCGTCTTCCATCTCTTCCGATTCTTTCGCACGGAATATTATCGACGCACAGTTTTGCACTTTCCTGCAATCATTTTTGTTTTCGGGACAGA